CAGGCACGGTCTACACGGAGACTAAGGCCAGACGGCCACCTGTGCTCCCGCCTCTCAGCCAAGGTTCTGCCTGCGAGCGACTGCCTCGGGAATCCTGTGCGCCCTTAAGTCCTCCCCACACCAAGCCCATCCTCGTTCTGGAGGTCACCGGCCCCTCTCTCCTTCCTCTCCAGACCCCTAGGGCGCCCCTCCCTTCTAGCCGCGGATTCGGCGAGCCAGGTTTTCTCCCTTTCTGGTCTCCGCTCCTCCTCTCTCCCTAGAATCCAGTCCTGGTTTCCCCACCGCCAGCCTCCCTCTCCTCCCCGCCAGGCTGCTCTCCGCCCAGCCCGCCGTCGCCGCCGCCGCGGCCACCGCGGTCGGCCCCACGCCTCGCCAGCCCAGCTCTCAGCCGCCCGGGCCTGGATCGCCCGGTCCGGCGGCTCCAGTCCTGATCTCGCCGCCGCCCAGCCGGGGTACGAGGCCCGGCCGCTGGGCAGAGGCGGCGGCGGCTGGCGCGCCAGTCCCAGGTTGGCTGGGAGGGAGCCCGGGAGGACAATGCACCCGGCGCTCGGCCACCCTCGCCCGCTTTCGTCCTCGCCCGGCCCCTTCCCGCCGCCGCCGCCGCCGCCCGCTGCCCGACTGCAGCCGCTCTTCTTCCGCGGGGGTTCGCCCCGCGGCCCGGGTGGCTCGGGCGACAGCAGCAGCAGCCCCAGCCCCGGCCGCGGGGGCGGCCGGCGCTGCGGGGGCGACTCCGTGAGCAGCAGCGGCGGCAGCAGCGGCGGCACCGGCGCGGGGCGGGAAGACGACGACGAGAGCGTCAGTCTCAGCAAGCCGCTGGTGCCGGCCGCAGCGCCCGCGGGACCCCCAGCGACGGGGGACGCCGCGCCGGTCGCCTTCTCCTCGTCTGCCGCCACCTACTCCTCCGCGTCCACACCCGCCTCTTCCTGCAGCATGACTGCCGCCGACTTCGGCGGGGGCGCCGCGGCCGGGCCCGTCGGGGGTCCCGGGGGCCGCTCCATGGGGGGCGCGGGCGGCGCGGGAACCGGCGGCGGCGCCTCCTGCTGCCCGTGTTGTTGCTGCTGCGGCCGTCCGGCCCGGCCCGGCCGCAGAGGAGGGCGCCGCGGGTGCGCCGCCGGGCCGGGGTGCCGCTGGGGCTACCAGGCGCTGTCCGTGGTGCTGCTGCTGGCGCAGGGCGGGCTGCTGGACCTGTACCTCATTGCTGTCACCGACCTGTACTGGTGCTCCTGGATCGCCACTGACCTGGTGGTGGTGGTGGGCTGGGCCATCTTCTTCGCCAAGAACAGCCGGGGCCGTCGGGGCAGCGCGGCAAGCGGCGCACACAGCCATCCGTCGATCCAGCACCACCACGCTGCGCCGCCTCTGCACCTGCCCGCCTCCTCGGGCGCCTCGGCCGCGGCCGCGACTGGAGCCAAGGCGCGCGGCGGCCGCAGCATGGCCGGCGGCCCCGGGTGCGGACCGGGGCCGGTGGGGGTGGCGGGTGAGTTCGCCTTCGCCTACCTGGCCTGGCTCATCTACTCCATCGCCTTCACGCCCAAGGTGGTGCTCATCCTGGGCACGTCCATCCTGGACCTCATCGAACTGCGCGCGCCCTTCGGCACCACGGGCTTCCGCCTCACCATGGCTCTGTCGGTGCCCCTGCTCTACAGCCTGGTGCGGGCCATCAGCGAGGCGGGCGCCCCCGCGGGCTCGGCGGGGCCCTTGCTCCTGCAGCCCCAGCAGCACCGCGCTGCAGGCTGCTTCCTGGGCACTTGTCTGGATTTGCTCGACAGCTTTACCCTGGTGGAGCTGACGCTGGAAGGCCGCGTGCCGCTGCCCGCGCACCTGCGCTATCTGCTGCTCGCCGTCTACTTCCTCACCCTCGCCTCGCCGGTGCTCTGGCTCTACGAGCTCAATGCCGGGGCCGCCGCTCCGTCGTCGCGGGGCCAGGCCTCGGGGCCGGGCAGCTGCAGCCGCCTTTTGCGCCTGCTGGGCGGCTGCCTGGTGGACGTGCCCCTGCTGGCCCTGCGCTGCCTCCTGGTGGTGAGCCACCAGCAGCCACTCTCTGTCTTCATGCTGAAGAACCTCTTCTTCCTCGGCTGCCGCGGCCTGGAGGCCCTGGAGGGCTGCTGGGACCACGGGAGCCGGGCCTCCCCAAGTCGGGGTAGAGGGGGCTATGGTGCCCCTCCATCAGCCCCGCCGCCGCCTCAGGGGGGCTCCCAGCTGGGCCACTGCATCCCGGAGAACGATGGGGGGCCCCATGGCTATGTCAACACCCTGGCGGTGGCCTCCCAGAACTGAAGGGCTGAAGGGCAGGGGGCTTGCTTGGGGTTGAGCGCCGCCACCCTCCTTGTCCTCAAACCTTCTCTCGCCCAGATTTGATCAGGCATCATTTGAAGAGAAAACTGTCTATAGGGCTGAGGGCTGGTGTGCCCCCTGCACCGCTTGGCTATAGACTGTGTGGGGCGAGACTAGCAGTTGGTGGTGAGCAAGGTGCACTCCCTCTACCCAACTCCTCACCTCCAAGGGGCTGCATTACCCTTGCTTCCCGTTCCCCTATCTCCACCCTCATCCCCTTCCATTGTGAGGGAGAATGGAGAAAAGGAGTTTCCCAGGCAGGGAGTGCTTGAAAGTGCCAGCCCCTCTGAGGCTATGGAGAGTGCCCAATGACCCAGAATCCACCCCCACTGCCCCCACGTGTCTGTTCCAGATTGGAGCTGTGTGCGGTGTTGTCTTGTTCCACCCTGTGGCCCCCTGGAAACTGCTAGGGGATCTGGGGAGGCCTGCCCTCCTCATATGTGTCCCAGCTTCCTCCTGCCTGCCTGGATTTGTGACCATGACTTCCCAGGAAGAGCTGGGTCCTGGGGCCGCCCAGTTGCCTTCCCCCACGGAAGAAGCTCACCCTGGATCCTCCTCCTGCTCCTCTCTTCTCGGCTCTGGGGAAGAAGGGGCTCGTATTTTAAGGACCAAACTGCACCCTTTCTTGGGTGAATGGCATTTCTACCTCTGTGTTTTCAACTTTTGTTGCATCACGCACTGATGCTGCTTGCAAAAAAACAAAGACAAAGTAATCAGAAGTTGCATTCAACACGGCCACTGGCTCCCGTTGGGGCTGGGTGCTGGTGTTAGTACAGGGTCCATGGAGTCTCAGCCACCAGCTTGCCCCTCCTTGCTTCCCTCTCTGCCCTGCACTTTTAGCCATCTGGTGGTTTGGTGCTGGCTGCAGCAGAACTAGGCTTTGAGCAACTGCTTTGGTGGGGCTCCTGGATGGATGTGGAGTTGGGGCTCAGTTCCCCAGCTATCCTGCCTCTTGGAAAGCTTGGGGTAGATCAGAAAGGACGGTGGTGACCTTTCTGTTCTGCTCCCAGTCAGGGTCTCAGTAGGGAAAAGGCAGGCTCAGAGCCCTGCCCCCCTCTCCCACAGAGGTCCTCTTGTTGAGGGTGGTGAGGAGAGACACCCGGCGCTGCCCACGTGGAGCCCTGATGTGGGGTGCCACCCAGGAGTCTTTGAGGTGGGGTAAGTGTTTGCAGGGGCGGTGAGGGTGCAGGAGGCTGGAAGGGGGCAAGGCTGGGCAATCCCCCTCCCCCACCCTCAAGAGGATGGGGTGGGGGTGGGACTTCGAGAATGTTTGTTTCCCCTCTTCCTTAGTTCTTGGGATGTTTTTTGTAATGTAGTAAACCCTGGACAGGGGACCAGAAGACTTGGTTCCTGTTCTGACTCTGTCACTCACCGGTTTTGAGTGACATCACTTTTCCTCCCTTGCCCTCAGTTTTGTCGTATTCAGAAACTAGAAGCTGGATGAGTGTTCTTTAAATCGTTCAATTCTCACATTCTCCGAGTTTATGGCTCTTGAAGGCCCTGGTCACAATGGCACAATGGCCTCTGCGAGGGTGGACAGGAGAGGAGCCAGCCAGGGTCCACTTGCAGAGCTGTCTCTGCCTCCACCCTGGGTGTGTCTGAAGCCCTCGGGAGGGCACGGCTGGGCTGGGCTGGGGTTGCAGGGCCTGTTAAGGCCTCCCTGTCCCTGCCTTCTACAGGAAGGGGCTGGAAATGCCAAGTCACTGACCACGAAGTCAGCACCCAGACTGAAGGCCCGCCTCCTTTCCTTTTGGTTCTGCTAGGATCATCTGAGAGCTTGAGACCCCGCTTTCCCAACTGCTCGTGGGCAGAAGATCTCCATGGAGAGAGACACAGGAGGGGCTGGTGGCCGGGCCAGAGTTCTGAGCATCCCTCCTGCTCTGGGTGGGGAACAAGGGGAAAATGCTGCCATGCCATGTGCTCTGCTCCCAGGCTTTCCACCTACTCAGTGCCAGCTGGTTGGGTGGATTTTGCAATGAACTGGCTTTCTGCCTTCTCTCCTCCTCAACCCCCGACACTGCTCTTCTCTCCCTTTGATTGTGCTCGGGCTCTGGGGCCCCCGGCCCCTGGAGGGAGTGGGTACCAATAGCTGCTCCTTCTGTCCCCGTTGTCCTTTCTTCAGTTTTGCTCTGTTTCTCTGCTGCCTAATCTCAGTGACAGACGGACATTGTGTCTGAGCCATGGCCGGCCCGGCTGGCCCCCGACCTGCCCTCTTTCCACTGCTGAGCGACTGTGTGAATCTCCGAGGGCTATGGGCTTTGCCAGAGGGAAGCTGTAATGGGTTCCCAGGAGCTACTGCCACTTCCCAGGGGGTGTCCCGAGACTGACAGGACAGCCAGGGGGCCAGCTCTGCAGAGGCCAGCCCTGGGCATCCTCCTCCACGCATTTGGCACAAGTGCTCTGTGCTCAGAGGGTCAGGACCTTCCTTGCGTTTTTCTTGAAACTTTTCACTCATTTCCCTTGCCCCATTCATAAGAAAAGACCCATTTTCCTTGCCTCCTGAGGCATCTCTAGTGCAGGGGTCGACTCTTAGATGAGTCCAGGGGTCTGACAACCCACAGCAGCCTGGCTCACGGGAGGATCCCTGGGCTGGGAATCTAGACCTGCTTGCTCCTGACAGTTGAGCAAGTAGGGGGCTTCTTCTGAGCCCCCAGATCCTTGTCCGTTTAAGGAAGACGAGACCCTCCCTAAAGGTTACTCTGTTTTCACATGCTCTGGTTCTGAGTCCGTGGGTTTTTCTGGACGGGAGCCTGCTGGCACAGAGAGCCTGGAAGGAGGCGGAAAGTGGCGCCTCACTAGCATTTATCACGATTTTCCCCCTCTCTTTTTAAAAATAAAACCAGACTCTGTTCTGAAAATAAAAAACTTGCAACTTGTGACAAGCTTCCTGTGTGGTTCGTTTTAAGATCTTTCCTGTCCTGGTTTCCGTACTGAATTCTTAAATGCCACTGCGACACCTGTCACCATTTTATAGGCTGGTGTTAACATTGTGGAGACAAGTGTTCCGCGCTGGGCTTTCTGTAGCCGTGGCTAACTCGGGGCACCCGGTCACCCTGGGCTCTCCCCACTGTTCCTTCCCAAAGGGGGAAAGCCTTGTGCAATTAATGTTTAACTGCTTGCGGCAGCCAGAAGTGTGACTTCTTGTGTATGAATGAGAAAAACGAGGGCATTGGCTTTTTGTTTGTTTTTAAAAGCCTTAGGTTTTTTTTCCCCTATTTCTAAAAACATGATTTATCAGTTCCATTTTTTTATAAAACACAGAGAAAGCTAGCCAATGAACACAACTCTCCCAATATGGAAAGGTACTTTCGGCTGGCGCCATGGCTCAATAGGCTAATCCTCCGCCTTGCGACGCCGGCACACTGGGTTCTAGTACCAGTTGGGGCACCGGATTCTGTCCCGGTTGCCCCTCTTCCAGGCCAGCTCTCTGCTGTGGCCAGGGAGTGCAGTGGAGGATGGCCCAAGTGCTTGGGCCCTGCACCCGCATGGGAGACCAGGAGAAGCACCTGGCTCCTGCCATCGGATCAGCGCGGTACGCTGGCCGCAGCTGGCCATTAGAGGGTAAACCAACAGCAAAAGGAAAACCTTTCTCTCTGTCTCTCTCTCTCTCTCACTGTCCACTCTGCCTATCAAAAATAAAAAAAAATTAAAAAAAGAAAGATACTTTCATCAAACTTCAGAGTCTGACAGTGAGCAAATGTTTCTTTTATTGTATCTACAGTAATTACGCTTTTCCATTGAGCTGTTTTTAAAAATTGCTCATATCCTCATTAGGACTTCTGTCCCAGTCCCAGTCCAATGATGGGGAGAAACACCCCTCCACACAGTTTCCGCTGCCACTCGTTCCACTCGGAGACCCATGGGCGTGAGGGGACACACCCCCCCCAGCCACCGCAGCCTTTGTAAGAATCCAACTCTTCCTCACCCCAGATTGCAAGCTGCAGAGAGGCCCCGCAGCACAGCAGCAGCGGCACTCACCTCTGCATGGCTTCTGGTGCGAGTCTTCAAGTGTCTGGGTATCGGCCCACGGGAAAAGTGTACCCTTGCTATTCGTGAGAGAGCCCTCCCTAGGACAGTCTTCCTTCTGTCCTCCCAGTTTTGCCTCTGACCCTGCCTCCACTCAGCCCAGCCACGTGCCCATCATTGCCACCCGAACTGTGCCACCACCGGAGCTGGACAATACCCCCAGCCGTAGGGTTTAAAAAAATTCTTTATTTGGAAGGTAGAGAGACAAAGAGACAGACATGAAAAGAGTGATCTTTCTTCTGCTGGTTTACTCCCCAAATGCCTACAACAGTTGGGGCTGGGCCACGCTGGTCTCCCATGTGGGTGGCAGGGACCTGACCATTAGAGCCATCACCTGGTGCCCACCAAGATGCACGTTAGCAGGAAGCTGGATCAGGGACAGAGCGAGGACTCAGACCCAGGCCCTTGGGTGTGGGCTATGGGCACCCAAGCAGTGTTTTTATTTTATTTATTTTTAGATTTATTTATTTATTTGAAAGGCAGAGTTACAGAGAAGCAGAGAGAGAAAGAGAGAACCTTCCACCCAATGGTTCACTTCCTAATTGCCCTCAACGGCCGGAGCTGCGCTGATCCAAAGGCAGGAGCCAGGAGCTTCTTCCAGGTCTCCCACATGGGTGCAGGGGCCCAAGGACCTGGGCCTTCTTCTACTCAAGCAGCATCTTAACCCCTGTATCAAGTTTCTGCCTTGTTTTTTTTTTTGTTTTTTTAACATGAAGGAGACAAATTACACCAAAATAAAATCATATAAGAGTAATCCAGAAAGTTCTTGGGAAGGGCCAGGCATTTGGTTGAGCAGTTAAAACGCTGGAGGGATGTCAGTTTTGGAGTGCCTCGGTTTGAGTCCTGGCTTCAGTTCCAACTCCAGCTTCCTGTTCATGTGCATCCTTGGAAGCAACAGGCGATGGCTCAAGTATTTGGGACCCTGCCACCCATGTGGGAGACCTGGATTGGGTACCTACCTGGCCCCAGTCAGCCCATCTAACTGGCATTGTAGGCATTTGGGAAGTCTGAACTAGTGGATGGAAGTTTTTCCTGTGTCCCCAAAAAAGTCATGGAAAAATAGAATCAAAGCATGTTGCATAATTTTTCCATAATTCACATTTTCAATGAACTTTCTGAGGATTTCTTTATGCATGGATTTCAAAATACATCAAAGTATCTTTTAATTTTATTTCCATGAATTTTTAAAAAAGTACACTTACATTTTTCAAAATTTATAATTTATTAATTCCATTTTAGTAGAAAAGCAGAGGGACAAAGAGAGACAGAGAGGGATCTGTCATCTTGTTCACTCCCCAAATGCCTGCAACAGCCCAGGCTGGGCCAGGCCAAGTCAGGAGTTGGGGACTCAACCCGGGTGGCAGGGATCCAACCACCTGAACCACCACCTGCTGCCCCCCAGGGTGTGCATCAGCAGGAAGCTGGACCTGAGGCAGAGAAGCTGGGTATCAAACCAGGCACTCTGACAGGGGACGCAGGTGTCTCCCAGGCTGTGTCTTAATCACCATGCCAAATGCCCGTCTTCCCTTGTAGTACTGTTCTTTAGTGTAGAGGCAGCCTGTTCTGTCTAAATGCTGTGTGCTGTTCCTCTACTGTTTGATGCTTCTGGCTCCTTCCAAAGGTCACACAGGGATTTGAGTCAGGGGAGCTGAGAGGAAAATCCAGGAGCAGATGAGCCCAGCAGCTGGGCTTACCCGGTCTCTCACTCTGACCTGGAATTTCTCATAACATTTTAAAAATACTTATTTATTTTTATTTATTTGAAAGGCAGAGTCACAGAGAAGGAGAAGGAGAGAGAGGTCTTCCATCTGCTGGTTCACTCCCCAAATGGTTGCAATGGCTGAAGCTGGGCTAGCCTGGAGCAAGGAGCCAAGAGCTTCTTCCAGGTTTCCCACGCAGGTGTAGGGGCCCAAACATTGAGCCATGTTCTGCTGTTTTCCCAGGCGCATTAACAGGGAGCTGGATGGGAAGTGTAGCAGCTGGGGCTTGAACTAGCGCTGATATGGGACGCCAGTGCCGCAGGTGTAGGTTTAACTTACTATGCCACAGCGCCAGTCCCTCTAATAACTTACACATAGGAGCGATGATATCTGTCTCACAGAACTGTGGTGAAAATTCAATGAGGGGGGACATGTACAAAAATGGCCCTTGTCCTTAAGACATCAATCATTGTAAGAGTGTACAAAATTTATGTACAGGGTAGTTCTAGAATATTATAAGAATATGTCTGTCTCTTCCTAAACCATGTAAAATGAGATGACTCACTTCTCCGAGTGTTATAAATATCTGTAAGTGATCCACAGTTGGGCAAGCTGGCTCTGGGATTTGGGTTAGCTGAGCACACCAGGCAGCGCTCTGTAAAAGGCACAGGAGAGGCTCGGGGGTGGTCTGTGTGGGCCCAGGAAGCCGGGGGCCACAGGCAGGCCTGGCCTGAAGGCAGAGGCTGGCCCTGCAGTTCTGGCCCTAAGGAAGAGCAGGAGGATGTGCGATCCGGGCTGCCCATCAGCTCATCTCTGCTCACAGCCACCTCCAGGGATGAGGTGGCCTTGAGGCCAGGACTGCCTGCCTCCCAGACCTGCACCACCCCCAGCAGCCTTCAGACTTCAGCTGTCTGTCGACTGGGTTCAGCTTCCCCTTCAAGAGAGTTCTACACACCCTGCTGAACAGCAGGGGCTGTGTTTGATTTTCTGTAGGAGCCCCATGGAGGAGGTGAGGCAAGTCAACCCTTGTTGCTACATCTGTAGCATGGAGGGGCCAGCCCACTGCTCTCTCTCCTCCTTCCCTTCCCCTCAGGTCACCATCGTATCTTCTTTCTCTCTAACCAGAGAGGAAGGGTGCAGTGGACAGGTTCCTACTAAGGTGTTAATAACCAAAGGCGCTGCTCCTCCTACGAGAGATGTCCAGCTTCCAGGGTTGGGGAGGCATGCTGGGAGAGACTCACTGGCACACAGCAAATCATGAGAGGGGTGGGCATTGTGGTACAATGGGTTAAGCCATCATTTGGGATTCCCACATCCCATATCAAAGGGCCTGTGATGGAATCCTGCCTCTAATTCCAATCCAGCTTCGTAACTAATGTGAATGAGAAGCAGCAGATGATGGCTCAAGAACTTGGGTTCCTGCTACCCACTTGGGAGACCTGGATGCAGTTCCTGGCTCCTAGCTTTGTCCTGGCCCAGCCTTGGCTATTGCAGGCATTTGGATGGAAGATCTCGCTGTCTCTGTCTCTCCCTCTCTCTTCATATAAATAAATATTAAAAAAAAAAGTCACGAGAGAGGACTCCATGATGCTCCAATAGGCAGGGCTGGCTCCACAGGGTGACTGCCTGCCTTCAGCAACCTAAATGGTCAGGTCGAGAGCATGGACTCAGTGCCGGGCTCTGGGGCACGGAGCGCTGGGGAGAGGCCAAGAGCCAGGAGACAGCCGGGGAAGCATTTTGGAGTGATGGGACGTGGGAGGAAGCCGTGGGGTGCAACAGCTTAACAGCTTACACCTGTGGGTTAGGGGGTAGGCACTGCACTTTATATTCTCTCTGACACAATCTCCAGGATCTGTATTGGTGCAATTTTTCCATCCGTGCTCACCGGGTGAGTGTATTTACCCAGTCACCACACGTATTGTGCTCCTACTGTCTGCCATGCACTGGAGCACGTATAAGGCCCTGGTGGGAGAGAGCAAGAACAGAGACAGGGTAAACAGGGCCCCCGGTGCCACGAGCTGCTGTGTGCCTGGAGCAGGTGGGAGCGCTCCTCTCTGCTCAGAGGCAGAGACCAAGGAGCCCCTGGGCTTCTGACAAGAGGCAGCAGCGCCAGGGGGAAGGCAGCGCCTGGGACCTGCTGGGGGCTGACA